GGTTTTTCCCAACAGGGTTTGAACCAAGATTAACGAAAACTGGGAGGCTTGAAAGAAAAGCAGAAAGGGTTTGTGAGGGGGTGTCCCCTTAATGAAGAACAAAATGATTAAGAAATAAAGTCAACTATGGAAAGCCAAATCCGCCAAAATACGTTAGGTAGCTCATACAATCTAAACCCAAGCCATTCAATACTAGATTGAATGTAAGTTAAACAAACCATTCACACAAAACCAAATCATATGATCAATAAGACGACCGTTCACCGGTCCGCGCATTAAACTGAGGTAATCTCTATTCAGATTTAACGCTTCGTGTATGTGCCTTTCAGACGAGGCTTTTTGTTGACACAATTAAACATGCATCATGGAGGTGAAATGATCCACTGCAAAGTTAAATAGTTGAACGCGAAGTTGAATGATTCACTATAAAGTGAAACGAACCGTGACCATAATAAGTAAAATGGTTAAAAATAGAATGAAATGATCCACAACAAATTCAAATGATCCAATGTAAAGTCAAACGAACCATGGTAGATTCAGACCATTTAATATGCTGTGCAGTCGATCGTTTGATGATTGTAAAGTGAATTCATTCATTCTAATGCCAAACAAGAAGATGATGTCATCTGAGCATAGTGTTTTGATTTGTTAGAAAAATGATGGAATATTATGGTAATAATCCGCCAAAATACGTTAGTCAACGAAACATAGACTAACGTAAGCTAAACCCATTTAATTTATGGTCGAATGTATGTTAAACAAGCCATACATTCAACAACCAAATCATCAAATCAAACATTAAACAATTCATTCAAAAACGAATTAATCAAATAGAAAGCCAAATCTTCGTCCAAAATCTAAACGTATCTTATCCAAATCACTGTTTTAATATTAATACAAATCACGTAATGAAAAACCAAAACATCCAAGCAGAAACCAAATCATCTAATGGAAACTCAAACCGCTTAATCTCAGTGGCGTAGAAAAATATTTTTCATTGGGGGGGGATGATTGGCGTGTTAGCCAGTGTCGTAACAGGCGCGGGGTGGGGCAGGGGAAAAACTGCCCCTCCCCTGACGGTTATTATCGGGCCGACCAAGTCGCCGTACCGGGCTGGGTAATAAGAGAAAAGAAAGAGGGGAGAGGGAGGGAAAGAGAAAAAGAGGAAAAGAAAAGGAAAGAAAAAGAGAAGAGAAAAATAGACAAGAATAAAAA